AGACTGGAAGTTTACTGGGCAAAATATTTCTGAATTAGAAGTATTTTCACTGTGTTGGAATACAGCAAATTCAGAAGCAAAAATTCTTGAAGCTTATGATTTGATGGATCACTTCTGAGTGGGAGGAGATCTCTGTCAAATTCTAGACGTTCATACCATCCAACCATTAACAGAATGAGAAGTACCAGAACAGCCAGCTTGCTGGCATCACTTCTGTGGAATTCAAATGATGTTGAGAAACACAGCATCATGTATTGCCTTAAGCAAGGAGCATGTGAGGTGAGCCTTGCTTTGTCTAGAATTAAAGGAATTCTCACTAGAAGATTGTAACATCTTCCATTCAGGAAATAGAAGAACTAGGAATCGTTCCAGAGGACAGAATCGACCAGCTGCTGTGAAAGAGAATACAATAAAGTTTGAAGGTGACTTTGATTTTGAAAGCGCCAATGCACAGTTCAACCGAGAAGAGTTGGATAAAGAATTCAGGAAGAAGCTTAACTTCAAGGGTTAGTACTTTTTCTGTTTCTTGTATGATTGGTATGCCAGTCCCTCCTCCTTGATATGGATGAAAGAAAACATCTACTACCAATGTAGCTTGTTATATATGCATATTTAAAAATAATGATTTCCCCCCTTCCTCTTCAGATGATAAAGTTGACACGGGAGAAGAAAAGGGAGAGCCTACTGTGGCTGCTGAAAACTGTGATGGCAATCCAGATGAAGATCTACTGGGACCCAATTGTTACTATGACAAAACAAAATCCTTCTTTGACAACATCTCATCAGAATTGAAGTCTAGGTAACAGAACTCTGGGAGCTTTATTTTAGCTCTTCCACACTAGTTGTGTTGGTTTAATGGTGTTTTTGCCCAGTACCCTTTTTTGTACTCCAATATTGAGCAGAAGTTTGCTTTTCAACAAATGAATGTCCTTAAACCTGCGTCCCTGGTCCTTTTTCAGTTGCAAATGAATACCTTTCTCAAGGTATTTTATTTTCTATAACTATATTATAGATTTTATATGCAGTCCTTCCCTGATTACAGAAACTATGCTTGGAAGGCACTAAAAGCAAGCTCATTTTTCAGATTCTAAAATGGTAGCCCATTAAAGTAAAGAGTTCACAAAGTAGGTTCTAAAGCTCAAAAAACTTTGATCTCTGCAGTGCTTAAGGTTTAAAGTTTGGTAAGCAATCATAGGTGGGGGTGAGGAAGAAATCTGAGACCAGAAGAACTTGCTCAACCAAGCTCTTCATAGGAACCCTAGGATTTGAGCCTTAATCTCCTTTTTGTGATGGGAGTCCTAAATGTTTAGAAACAGTATTCTTTGTGACTCTTTGCCTTGATATCCTTGTTTCTTAGTTCTGCAGTTAGGATTTTATTGAGAGATAGAAAAAAAGAAGTCAAATGTATATATCATGTTCTTGGCAGAAGCTACCCCATAAGTACTGCTGCTTGGTTACTGAAGGATGAAGGATTCAGTAACCAATTCCTTCTGAATTACTTGACATGTTTTAATCTTAAATCCCATTGGTTAAAGTCTACATGATATGGAAAACTCAGCCACAGCAATATGATTTGGAAAATTACATTCATAAAACACATTTGGTAGTATATTTTGTGACAGACTTTGTATGGGAAAATGATGTGATGGCCTTAGTCTTCTAATCTCTTTGCTTGAGAGAGAGTTTTACAGCATGAATTTAAAGAGAACTTGAAAACTGGTAACTTGTTTTTTAGTTCACGGCGTACAACATGGGCTGAAGAACGGAAGCTCAACACAGAGACATTTGGTGTATCTGGGCGATTTCTCCGTGGCCGCAGTTTTCGTGGGGGATTTCGTGGTGGAAGGGGGTCTGGAGCTGTGCGGCGAAGTCAGGCTACTCCCAGAGTTGGCACTGGAAGAGTTTGAATCCTGCAGGCAAGTCACAAAATTAAAGTATTTTAGGTTCAGCTTTCTTAGAGCAGCTGGGATGAATAAAGAAAACCAAATTGTCTGCTTATAATGAGTGTATTCCTCAAAACCAACTAATTAGACTCTTGGGAGTACTTAAATTAGTGAAATGTTTGCTTTTATGGCAGTGTGAGTTTTTTCTCTCTCACACAGTTTTTCAAGGGCCTTGTATGTAGTTAACCTTTAGGACTTAAATACTTTCGGTGAATTTTTTTAAGTGGCTTGAAGTAAATGAGCATCCAGCAGAGTAATAGATAAATTTATTGTATAGTTGTTAAACATGTCTATGTGTTTTATTTTAGAGTTTTCAACCACATTGCTATGAAGTCATGTACATAGGAAAGAGGGAACAATAAAAACTGCTGCACTTAAAGGATGGGTGAATGAAACATTATGTTCACATGCCTGAATTCCGGTGAAATTACTGCTAATATGTCACAGCAGGATTGGAGCACTGGAATTACTTCAGAAGGAGTGTGCTTAGAAACCACCAATTCAAGAAGTTCTCATTTTTTTGGATTTTTCTTTTTTGCGGGTGGGGGTCTTTTTAAAAGTAGTGCAAGAAACCTGTGCTGCTTTTAAGTTCCAACCGCTGTTGTAGTTGAACGCAGGGAATGCTTGTTCTATTCTTAAAGAAAGCAATGCAATTCTAAATTCTTCAAAAATGAAACCAGCAACTTAATCTGGAGAGCCAAATGTCTGCTGGTGTCCTTTTGTTCTGACTTCTATGCCTTTCTCTTCACCTTCCTGCCCCTCCTCAAGCAGATTGTTTTGATGTCTAGAAACAAATTCTAGTGCAGAAATGTTGTGTGTGTGATGTGGTGATGGGATTTGTTGCTGACCATGTATCTGTAATTCCGACTTGCCACTTGAGAAATAGGATTTCTCTGGAGAGTTACACCGCAGAGTTGCTTGGAGTGCTGGTCACCCCTCTCAAAAGAACTAGTATCTCAAATGGTGGCCCAGGATAAATGCCATTTTCAACTTCCTAATGATGAGCCATTCTCCTTATGTGGAGAAGGCTAAAACTTGCATAATGCCCTTGCAGCAAATCTTGAGGGATGTTTTTTATCTCTCTGATTTAAAGGGGAAAGTCCAAGCTTCAAGCATTCATTCATGTTCTCTCAGAATGCGAAATGTGATGTCTAAATGAAGCTTGGGCAACCAGTATGTTCAGTTGCTCTTCTTAATCTCCCCCAACTTTATAAATAGTTCAACTTTTTTGTGTTTTTAAAATAGTTGTGGAGGATGAGCGCACAGGGATTATAAACTTGCATGGAAATGGGTAAAGCCTTTAGTAATAGGTTTGTGCCACTTTTGTTATCTGTAGGAATATTCTGTTGAAAGGCTTCCATAGTGGATGCCGTTTCTCTCCTCCCCCCCACCCCCATTTCCATGGCTCCCCTAGGTCATGCATTAAGTTGGTGTAAAGCTTTAGTTTCTTTTGTAGGCCTTCATCACAAAGGGTTAACACATTGTGGTGAGGTCGCGTTATGGAGTCATGTAAATTGTAATTATAAATAAACATGTAAATGTTTAACTGTTCTCAGCTTTTTCTTTTGCCTGTTGCTGCAAGTAATTTTTCAATCAAAAAGTTAGGTAATGACTTGCAAACCAGGGTGATGCTGTATTTAGGAAGATGCCCTGAATTTGATCCAGGGTTTTCTGAAGAGTTAATAAGGAACAAAATATGCATGCATGCACACACATTGTCTGCTTACTTCAAAAGCACTTTTGTATGAGTATTATGTTAACTCCATGTCAGCTAGCTTATTCTTTAGTGCTGAAGTTTCAGTGTTTTCTCCTGGGACTTGCTCCTTAATCTCCATTTTGAAATGTAAATACTTCTATCCGAATAAGCGGGAGATGCTGAAAGGCTTGAATAAAACTTTGCATCCATGAAAAATGGATTGGGTGTCCTTTTAGAGAAACCAATCTGAAGCCTCTAAAGTTGGGCATTTTTAAATACTTAATATTTATGTCCTGTGAAACATATCCCTATACTACACATTGCAGTCCCCAAGGACAATCTCAAAGAAGAGCAAAATGGTTGATAAAAAAATGTTCTTGCAAAGCATGCGCTAGTATAGAATTGAAAGAATCAATACCTTTGAACCAATATGAAATTTTGATGGATTTGTATGTGCACTCTCATATTTTTAAAAGGGCTAAATCTGATTATGCAAATCAGCTTTTTAACCAAATTCAAATTAGATCTTGGGTGATTTACACATCCCTAGATGTTCTGGGAACATAGCAATTTATCTTACAAAGAATCCGACCTTGGCCCCATGTAGACTATTTTTGTTGACATTGGTTCTGCAACCTTTCATACCAACTTTCCAGTCCTGGCTAGACACGTGATACTGCAATGGGGATCTCTGCAGTGTCTTTACAACAGAGCAACAGCCTCTTACTTGCACGATACTAACACTGATTTGAGCTTGAGAGATTAGTAGGCCGCCCTGATGAACTAACACTTGGAGGTTCCTGTTAGAAGGGCCAGCTTTCTTTGCATTTGATAATTAGCAGCTCAAATATTTACCAGTAAATAAAAATTCCATCATAAACACACCTTTTAAAAGTACTTGCTCTGAAATATCACTGGTGTTAGAAGTATTCTGCCATGTCTTCAGAAACGAAGTTTGTTCAGTTTTTAAATCATGTGGAGCACCCATACTGATCTGGAAGAATTACTTTTCCATTCATTATAACTATCTCAGTCTCCTTACGACTTGAATTCTGCACTACTGTGCTACCTCCTCAAAAGCTCACAAGTATTCCCACATGTACACTGCCGCAGGGGTAGTTACTGTATATTTCCAGTGGTCTGGACATGTCCTGTGAACCGTGACTTAGCCCTGATTTAGCTTTCTACCATATATTATCCAATCTGGGCTGCAGAAACCCAAGGGACCACTATGGGGGCAAGGAAGAGATAGCTTTAAAAAAAAACTTTGCTGTCATCTGTGCTTATCTGGATTCTGTAGCTCTAAACTACAGAAATCCCTCTTTTTCTAATGATTCAACTTAATAGCCACTATTTTCCAAATGTTCTATATGCAAATACTTTTTGCCACACTGCATTCTTCTCTCATGAAACACACCATTCGGTGTGTGTGTTTGCCAAGAAGTTTTGGATTGTAATTCCCATGCCCTGATTATTGCCTGGGACTGACAAAGGAGCAAAATCAGATTAGCTTGCAAGAGAAAAAAGTGCTCAACACCAATATTTTTTTGAAAGAGCAAGATTAATATTTTCATAATTTCAGGGTGACATTACAACCATGGTCCCATCCTGAATCTATATGGGAATTTCTACAACTGCCTGCCGAAATGAGTTTACTGAAATAAATTCACTGCCATGCAGTTAGAGAATCAATTCACATGTATAGATCTACTGTCAAAAGTTCAACAGAGATCACAAATTTAAATTTTATCTTTCATATTTAAGTGCCAAACTTAAGTATGAGCCATTCCCACATTATGCTGGACTGAAGATTCAGCAAATCTATGCTTTGTCATGATTACCCTGATGAATTATAACAGAATGGAACATAAACATTAGCAATGAAGCAGTGGTGATAAGCAGTAATAGAATAGTAGTAACAGAACAGGAGTAATAAAAGGTATCTTCCATGTCAAATTGGAGATTCATTAACAAGTTATGAAAACATTTTCTATTGGTTTAGAAAAACTAGTGTTATAATTGCAGTATGGTTTATATGTGTATATGTGTGTGTGTGTATATATATACACACACACACGTGTGTGTGTATATATATATACACATACATGCATACAAGAATGGAGCCTCTTCTAATAACAAGCTTAAAAAACAGATGGTTTATTGTAGACCTCTTAGGGGCACAGAACAAGGAAATAGAATGCTTACATATCTATATAGACTCATGATTGATTTAAAAACCAAAACTAAAGAAATTCATTCATCATGTTGTAGTTTTCTTCTGTTTCTTCTTCTCGTTCTCTTCTTTCTCTTTTTCAATTTCAGCAACATATTTTTCAATTTCATCAGGGCTCAGTATCTGTAGGGAAGTTATGAGATTACAATCAATTGGCCACCTTAAAGCCAGGGTTTTCAGTGTACCCTCTTCCCCAACCAAATCCTCTCAGCCTGTAAAGGATGGTCATTATTCCAATGATAATAAACAGTAGAGTAACAGTGCAGTTAAGCCAGATAAGGGAAAGAAAGACAAACCTATTACCTATTCTTACCCGCCCCCATCTTTTCTAGTCCTCTGGGGTCATGGGTGCTGCTGCTACTAAACATGAAGTCAATGCAAAATCATTTTTTTCACTCCCTGAAGTTGAGGGAAGAGCCTAATTTGTTTTCCACTGCATTTGTGTTTCATAGTGCAGTGCTTTTCAAACTTGGCAACTTTAAGATGTGTGGACTTCAACTCCCAAAATTCTGGGGAGTTGGCTGAGGAATTCTGGGAGTTGAAGTCCACATATCTTAAGTTACCAAGTCTGAAAAACATTGCTATAGTGTATATATGTATATAGGGGTGTGAAACCTAATGGCTTGAAATAAATGATTCTCCTAATTAGGCTTCAGAAGTATCATGTATAGATGCCTATTATCTGTATTATTTATTAGGAAGCCATCAGATTTCAAATGCAGAGCTCCTTTGCAAGCAACAAACGACCATGGCACAGCAACAATCTACAAAACAAAAAACTAGTATTACTTAAGACAGTTTACCTTGAGAGGTTGATTTCTTCTCATAACAGCCAGCTCAATATTTTTCCCACCAGACTGTACAACCTTAAATTGTGGAAAATCAGAAAAAGACTTCCTTACAAATGTGTTACAATCAGGAATTTTTTCCAATAAAAGAAGTTGACATCCCATTTGAACTGCATGACACATCCAAGAGTGCTTCAATCTAATACATTCAGAATACCCACAAAAATTGCATTTCTTCTAAATCAATCTTAGAACCAGGTAAATAACTGTGGCTCTTAATTTTACTGAATGACATTAAAATATATTAAATTATTAGGGTACCATTTAGCTTGTTTATTATCAAAATAATCAAGTTAGGAACAATTTGAATGTCGACACTTACTTCAAGAAGGGCTTTGATAACAAGTTTAATTGTCAGATCATCAGTTTCAATAGCTTCATCAGTGTAGTTTTTCTCCAGAAATTCCCGCACAGATTTTGCTCCTCTACCAATTGCATTAGCCTAGGACAAGAAATATACTTGGCAAACTGATGAGAAATGTCAACAAAATATTTACATATCTAAATGTTTCATCTGACAGTCTTAAAATAAACCCAGCTAATATTTATCAGTGATCAGCCACCATGAAACCAAACTGCAAGCGACTGGACCTAATTAAAATGAAGAGGACCCAAAATACAATATTCTTAGTGAAAGATATAACAGTTCTTTTTGCCACAAAGCAACAGAGCCTATTGATGACTAAACTCCAAAGTCCAATTACTGCATACCTCAATATAACATTAATTTACTCCTCCATATTTTTAGGGTCTAGGGAAATCAGTCAAGACAAAAGTGTTTGGCAGCAAGACAGGGCCACAATGGTGCGGTGCCTGTTCTGTGCAACAGCCTCCCCCCAAGATCTAGAGGACCCCAATTCACCTGGCCTTCGGGAAGGCTGTGAAGACCTGGCTTTTCCCCCAAGCGTTGAGCTGGGATGTTAGGGGAGCCCAGTGCAGGTGTGGTTTGTGTGGTTCAGTTTGCTGTATTGTCCCTTTGTTGTTATACTATGATTCTTTTAATTCTTTGGGGGGGGTTGATTTATAAAAGTTACTATGTTGCTCTTCTTCATTGTTGTTAGCTACCCAGAGTTCATATGTAAGATGTGCAACCATGTGAATTTTCTACATCTAAATAAATAAATAACTTTTTTCCTTTTTTTTTTTTTTAACAAGAATGAGATAATTCCAATTGCTGAATGGAAAGTTCTACAGTGCCATAAATATCAAAAAGACTACTGTAACAGGACCACTCCTATAAATAACAAAGCAAATGGCAACAGAATTTTAACAAAATAGTGGCCATAAATCAGGTGATGATCTGTGGTGCTCTAGCTATTGCTTCCACTATTGCTCACCATTGGTCAGCCTTCATTTTAAAATACAGTTTTCTAGTGGTCTGTTAAACCCTAAGCAAAGCAGTGAACTAGTTTGCTTAGCCATGTTTTATTTTGCAGAGTCCACCTATCTTGCTAAACCAAACCAATCACATTGTGGTTAGTATGATGCATGAACCTAGTCTAACTCTGGTTTCTCCATATAATTAAATGCACAAAAACATGTAGATTATCAATAATGGAGAATGTACTATTTTGAATCACGGTACCTTTAAACAGTTTTTAAAAAGGGAATTATACCTAATCCAGAATTGGAGACAAAGGAATAAGGAAAATAAGGTTAGGTAAAACTGTGTTTAATACTTTCTGATCTTCTATAGATTATGACAGAGTGAATTAATCTGTAGGTAGGATTTGCTTATCTGATTTAAGTGCTCTTTCATTTTCATTTACACAAATCTAGTAGGTCAACTCACCTTCCAAGCATGATATGTGCCAGAAGGATCGGTCTGATACAGCCTTGGAGTTCCATCAAAGTCAAACCCTACAATAAGGGCAGAAATACCAAAAGGTCTGCGGCCATTACTCTGGGTGTATCGCTGAGGAGAAAGAAACAAATAAAAAGGTTTTATAAAAATAGAACTACAGTAACCGTATTACGGACAAATTTCTGAATAAGTACTTGACCACTGAGAAATCAGAATATGTTCTGAAGAATTGCTGTGGGCAAAAGTGTTTCAAATTCAAAACATTTTAAGCCCAAAACTCCCTGTTTCAGACAGCAGTTCTGAGTTCAAAACAGACTCTTCCAGTCTGAGCTTGAAACATAGCCTCATTTCAAGGACACAAAACTTTTGAATGGTCAAAATGGCACCGAAATACTTCCAGCAAGTACAGAATAGCTGTATTTTGAACTTAAAGCTTTTTGAAAATTACAAAGCGGTACTCTACATTTACTGAGAAACTAAATTTACTTGTGAGCAAAAAGATGTTGAACAAATAATGCTTTAAACATCTGTCAGTACTTGCTCATTAATTTAGTAGAGTTTGGAATTTTGACTTTTTTTCAAATGCATTTTTAAATACTGAAAGACATCCTTGTGGGTTTTATTGTACAATTTAAAATAAAAACACTAAGTAGCAAAGACAGAAGCAAGTATGTAAAGCTGCAAAAATCAAATATAATTTCTAACACCTACAATAGCAAACACTATTTCCTACTATCTTTCATTACCTTTGGGGGAAACCTAATTTTCCATTTTTGTCCAGAGTTCACCAAGGGTTTGCAATAAACCAAGCAATGAATATGGCCATTGGAAAAAAAAATGTATATACCTGCTTCAGGCTAGCGATATAACGTGTAATATATTCCACAGTGACAGGATCTTCCACTGTAAGTCTATGGCTTTGACATTCCACTCGGGCTCTATTTATAACTATCCTGGCATCTGCTGTGAGACCTGTAAACAATAGTTCAAAATATCAAAATTTGCCTTTAGCAAAGTGAATAATTAGAAATATTCCTACTCTAGTAAATTTCCTAAATGAATAGAGAGATGATTCATTTTTATGCACATGTTCATCCTATGTTCCAGAAAATAATGTTCTTTTGAGGTAGATATATCTTATGTGTATTCCCAACATACTAGAATTGTGGTGTCTAATGAATCTCCTGATGATGATTTTGAGTGGAAAAGGACAGAGGAAAGATTAACCAGACTTTTTTTTTTTACTGAAGTTCTTCTGCTCAGATTAAGGCAACTTTTAGTTTAGAAAAAGAATCAAAACAAGGAGTGCCATACTCCAAAATCTGATTCTTTAATTAAAAAAATGAACCAGAGCTATAGAACTCTGACTTGCAGGGCTTGCTAATCTGATTGGTAAAATCAGGAAAACTTAATTTCAAGAATCTCCCAGTCTTCTAGAGCAGTTAGTGTTCCAATAGCAGAGTTTTAATCCTATTTTATCTGCCCCCACCACCTGGGAAGAGTGCTGGGAGGAGAGAAATAGAGAATAAAACACTGCTACTGGAATAATATTTGCCAGAAGAATGACACTGTCATTTTCAACTCAAAACAAATTAAGATTTCCAAAATAATGGACATTATTAACTTTCCATTAACAGAAAAATGAGATTTCTGGACTGTTTGTATTTTTTTTTCTCAACATTAAAAGTAGAATACTATTTGGTCATAAAGATTTGGTTTTCAAAAACTAATCAGATTAATTTTAAAGTACTGTATTTTTTAATAAGAGATTTAAAATTGACCTGTGTGGTAAAGGAAAACAGTCCTTCATAAGGACATTTTCAGAACATTGAACATTCAAAAAGAAGAGGAGGAATCCCCAAAGGTTCTTTTTCCCAGTCTTTTTCCCAATATTTTTAATTTGTTGACATTCTTTGCAAATAAAAAAAGATCCACTGGAACAATAATTCCTAGTCTTTATAGCAAGAATTGCACTGGCTAAGAATTCTCAGATTTATAGCTTCAACACATCTGGAAAAAGTGAAATTGGGGAAAGGCTGTATTAGGAAAACCCATCATCGAAGTACCTGCAAAAGCCATGCAGACGTTGTCATCAAGGGCACAGATCTTTCGGACAGTTCTCTCATCCTGAAGTTTTGCCACAGATTTTTTCTCCACACCAAGAACAACAATATCTTTTCCTCGTACTCCAACCTGTAATATAAAATGAAGGCGAGTTCATCTTCTCAAAGTATCATATC